TTAGGATACAGTAGCCTTTCAAAAGGTACCGTAAGTACAATATGGTTAATCTGGCATGTTGGGGTATGCTAGGGGGACCCTATTTTTGGGAGATGCCCACGTGGTTCGTGGGCTACCAAGGATGGTGAAGAAGCATTGCTCTCCCAAGTTGGATGCATTCGTCGACTACGCGTCCTGGGATAAGATGCCCACCTCGGAGGAGCTCAAGCAGTTGCCCTCGCTCGGACATCTTGGCCTGTCGATGCTCTCCATCGATCTCACCGACTTCGCTTGGAAGGATGCTGAGTGATCTTCGGGCTCAGACATGAAGACACGCGCAGAACGAACCCTAAACCCTAAACCCTAAACCCTAAACCCTAAACCCTAAACCCGAAACCCCAAACCCTAAACCCGAAACCCTAAACCCTAAACCCTAAACCCGAAACCCTAAACCCTAAACCCTAAACCTAACCCTAAGCCCTAAACCCTAAACCCTAAACCGTGAGCCTGACAGACAAGGCCTAACAGTGCCTGACAATACACAACGCCCCCACCTTTGTGGAGGTGCTTGACCCGCTCCAGGTGGTGCCCAGTGCTCGAAAGGGTGGAAAATCTCGGGCTGTCCATGCAGTAAACCCTAAACCCTAAACCCCAAACCCCAAACCCTAAACCCTAAACCCTAAACCTCATGCAACATGTGTTCAGTCTCAGGTTTCGTTGTTCTTGGTAGCCCAGTGGTACCTCTCTCCCTTTCTGTGGGTTCAAAGCTCTTTGTAAAGTAACCCTAAACCCTCAACCCTCAACCCTCAACCCTCAACCCTCAACCCTCAACCCTAAACCCTAAACCCTAAACCCTAAACCCTGATTATGAGATGGTGACTGGGCTAGCAAGCGTTGCTTCTGCGGGAGCCGAGGTTGGGTGCTTTTAACCTAGATGATTTCCTTAAACTCCTTGTCTGGCAATATGTTATGTATGAAACTGCTCCAAGCACCTAAAACCCTAAACCCTAAACCCTAAACCCTAAACCCTAAACCCCTAAACCCTAAACCCTAAACCCTAAACCCTAAACCCTAAACCCTAAACCCTAAACACTACAGGACTTCCGGGGCTTCAGTACGAAGAAGGTCCTCATGCGCATGCCAGCACTGCTCGACCCTAAACCTGTCAAGCCTGAGCATTGCCTTCAGCCTGTAGAGCATGAACACTACCGGAGGTCCTTGAAGGGTTTAGGGTTTAGGGTTTAGCGTTTAGGGTTTAGGGTTTAGGGTTTAGAGTTTAGGCTTGGGGTTTGAGGGTTTAGGGTGGTACGGACGAAAGGGTTTAGCCCACATCCCACAGACCTTCCAACCGTCCGAAGAGGTCATTAGTCCGATGTGGTTTTGTTTCTGTCTTGGCGGCATTCCCTGCCCTGGTGCAGCCTTACTTGAGAAATGGGCATTTCCGAGAACAAAAACATGTACCCCCAAATATATCCCCAAAGATTATCATAGGAACCCAAAACAGGTACCCCTATTTTCGGAAGCTCCCAAATAAGTTTGAAGCTACCAAGGTGCAGGAGCTGGAGGTGCTCAGGAGACAGCCTGCCACCCAGTATTCTGATGGACTTAGGGTTTAGGGTTTAGGGTTTAGGGTGTCAGCACGGCTTTGCCATGGCTTCGCGTTTCAGATGAGCGGAGCTGCGTGCGTTGGGCCTTGGAGTCGTGTTGCGTTCGAGCTGCTGCAGCCGTTTTTTTGGGCAGTTTGCCGCGCACTCAATCCAGAGTAGCTTTGGGCCATGCCGTCTACCGCGGGGACCGTGGAGGTGAAGCCCATGGACTTCGAGGCCGATGAGGGAGCCCAGGCTATAATATTAGGTAGGATAAGGGGGGCCCTTAAAAGGGAACCCTTCTTAACCCTCTTCTGGCTCTCTTAAACAGGTTCTTCAACAGGGACCTCATTCAAAGGGTGAAAATCCCGCCAAGGGTCCCCCAATTCACATCCCCTACTGTCTCAATGCCCTCAGTCCTTCTACAAGCAAGCAGCGCCGTCTGAGATGCGACATCGACAAGATAAGGGCACTGTGACGCATGACTTGTTGGCCCATCCCTTTGGAAAAGATGGGCTTGTATGCATGTCTTCAACAAGCCTCTAACTGGGATCTTTTGCATCCCTGCGCCTTCGTAGAGGCCAGGTTGTTTTTTTTGGGACACTGTGAGATCCATAGCCGAACCCCTGTGTGACCGCCGAGAATGCATGTCCAGCGCAGGTAACCTGGCTTCTCCATCAAGCTCCCGAGGAAGGGCAAAATGTGCGCGAGTCAGCGACACTGTGGGGATACAAGATTGACCTGTTCTTTGAGATTGAGGATGGACTCTGGACTTTCGAGGTCTTTGCACCGGCACCAGCTGTCGGGCTGCTTTGGGTTGGTGAGAAGCGCAAGTCAGACAGCTCACATCCCGACTGCAAAGTCTTGTGGATTCGCAAGGGCGGTGCCAAAGCAGACCTCCGCTTCCCTCTGCAGCTTGGCATCCGCTTCTCCGAGCTTGATGGCCATCCTTGCCGTCCTTGCCCATGGCTCGAGAGGATCCGAGACTTCTGGGCCCTGGTAGCAGCCAGCAACCATGCGGCCGACTCGCGCGCCGAAGCGAGCCTCGCTGCTGTGGGACGTGTCCAGGCTGCCTGGCGAGCGTTTGCTTGCCGACGGCACCGGCGCCGAGAAGCGGCCGAGAGGAAGCTGCGGTTGGGCATCGTGAAGGCGGCAACCACGATCCAGTCGTGGTGGCGCGGCGCTGCTTGCCGCAGGCACCTGAAGCTGGAGCTCGCAGAAGAGGCGCGTCTGCAAGGCCTCCGCCGCCTGCAAGCAGCCGTCCTTCGCCTGCAGCTGGCCTTTCGCTTGCGCCGGCCGCGCCGCGAGCGCCGCTGGCGGGCCAGCAGGAATCGTGATGGCTCCCAGCTCTCCATGCCCTACGACGCGATCTTGGCCTTCGAGTCCTTAGCCGAGTTCCTGTCCACGGGTAGAATGGACATCCTTCAAAAGGCGGAGTCCAAGCTGCAGGTTACCACGGAAGCCAGGTATCGTGTCGTCGCGGTGGTCGGCCTCTTCGACAAGGGCAAGACCTTCCTTATCAACAAACTCTTTGGGGTGACCTTGCCCTCTGGAAAGCTTCACACCACCAAGGGCTTGAGCTTCCTGTGGATCGAGGAGCGGCGGATGCTGGTCTTAGACTCCGCGGGCGTGCAGTCCACCGTGTCATACCGTGCACAGGCCGTGGACGCCATCCTGGACGCTCAGACGACGGAGTCGCTCATGTTCGAGATGATCTCCCGCATCGCGCACCACATGATCTTTGTAGTCAACGACCTCACGTGGTTCGAGCAGAAGTACGTGGCCATGTTGCACCAGAAGTACGTGCAGTGCAAGCAGCACAAGGAGCTCATCGTGGTCCACAACTTGCGCAACACCATGGAGGTGGAGGAGGCGACCAAGCTCTTCAAGCGCCAGGTCATGCAGCGCTATGACGGCGAGCCGTCTCATTTGGGCCAGCTCATCTTCACCGCCGACGCCGGGGAGGGAGCGCCTCCAGTGCACCACATCGGATTCTGCTACGAGTTCTCCGCAGCCGGCGACGCCTTCAACTCAACGAACAGGGAGTATCTCCTGCAAAGCTTGGAGCACGGGAACATCCTGGGGTCCAAGGTTATCCTCACAGGCATCCTCTGCAACGAGCTCAGCAGGCTGCTGCCTCGGTTCGTCAACATCGAAGCGGCCGATTCGGCGGCACCGGAGACATCTCCCAGCACAGAGCAGGCGGTCTCCGTGGACTTCGCAGCTGCAAGCCAGCTGGAGAGAGTCCATGGCTACCGGCGCCTGGGCACCATCTGCCTCAGGCTCTCCCAAAAAGGAGCGCGCGTGGCCATGAAGACCCGCGGGGTGATCTCCCCGTTGGGGGAGATCATCGCCCACGACGTCAGCTTTGACCCCATCGTGAATGTCTTCGACCGAACCCGTGACGGCACGATCCTTCGGTACATCCGCATCGAGTGCCCCGCCGTGCGTGGTGGAGGCGGACATCGAGTGGGAGGAGCTCGCAAACGGCGTGAGGATTGGCATCGACAAGAAGCGGCCCATCGACGAGCACGCCGTGCAGCCCGTGCAGCCCATCCGCCAGCACCACGGCATCTGGGAGCGAGACTTCCTTTTCGAGGCCGCGGATGGGCGCTTCGAGCTGTGTGAGGACGAGGCGTCCTTGGAGAACGGCGTGCTGACCATGGTTCTGCGGAAGGCCATGCGCCCGCGCAAAGGGCGGCTGGGCCCAGGCACCAAGATCGTGGGCCAGTCGGATCCAGGGTGCAAGAGCCTTGGGCCATGCTCAGAGTCGGACTGTGCTTCCTTCTGCAAGGTGTCGGATGCACAGGCAGCAAGTGGAGGCTGCTAATAAAACACGGGCATCATTCTGGCTGCCCTCAGACTGCAGCACTTCTTCCCCGCCACAAGTAGACTGACAGTGTATGATGTTCTTCTCCACAGGTTTCCAGGGCCTAGTTGCATTGCAGTCCGAGGGAGTGGCCATGGAGCGTCAGGAAGACCTTGACCGGGCTAAGTTGTAGTACGATTCGCCCGGCGCGTGCAGCCTTGCGAGTTCGCAAATTGGTGCTCGTACACAGCAGCATACGGCCATTTGTCCACGATGGTCACCCCTTCACCAACAGAACTCGCAGCTGTTAATCATTCTGCTTCTGCACATGCTGCATCAGCTCACGGTCACTAAGCTGGCCGAAGCATGGGCTGTGTTGAGTACGGGTATTGCGGTTTGGCATGGCCAGTGGCCAAAGACTTAGGTGGGTTTAGGGTTTGGGGTTTGGGGTTTGGGGTTTAGGGTTTAGGGTTTGGGGTTTAGGGTTTAGGGTTTAGGGTTTAGGGTTTAGGGTGCAGAAGTGCATATGAGCGACGAGCGCTCACCCAGGGCAGGGACAATGGAGGGCGCGATGAAAAAGACAACCTGGCAATCAAGACAGTGCGTGACTCATGTGCTTTGCACTTCTCAAAGCCTAAACCCTAAACCCTAAACCCTAAACCCTAAACCCTAAACCCTAAACCCTAAACACTAAACACTAAACACTAAACCCAAAGCTCTAAACCCCAAGCCCTTTGTTCGCATCCCAGGTTCCTGGCAGCTTCGGGCGCGGAATCTTGCAAGGCTGACGTGGGCCACCTCCCTGGCCCTAAACCCTGAAACCTGAAACCCTCAACCCTAAACCCTAAACCCTAAACCCGTAACCCTCAACCCTCAACCCTGAACCCTAAGCCCTAAACCCTGAACCCTGGCCTCATTGAAATGAGCGACACGTGCTTTGTCGTCTCGAAAAAAAGTCCCGCATCCATCCGCTGCATGCAGCTGCCTGTTGACGACCTGCGAGAACTTGGGATGCGGGATGCAAGCAGGCGATTGCTTCTAGACGGTTCAGGGTTCAGTGTTCAGGGTTCAGGGTTCAGGGTCTAGGGTTTGGGTTTAGGGTTGAGGGTTTAGGGTTTAGGGTCACCGAAAGGACTTCCAGCAAAGCCCAAAGGTCCCGAGCTGTCAACTGGTCACCTTAATTATCTGGCTGTCGCAGAAGGTGCATGGTGATTGAATAATTTTGGCGAAGGCCCCGTCCAATCCACGGCTCTGCCCGATCGAAGAGCCAGTTCCCGAAGCAAAGAGACCCGAGCCTGTATTCCGTATTCCGACATGAGATACGTAGGGATGATATTTGGTGCACTTCTTGAGGCTTGAGGGCTGCCAAAGGACGGGTCGAGGAAGCCAGCCAAAACTAAGTGAGGTGTGCTGGCGGGGGCTCGGGCTTAGGGCTTAGTCTGAACATGTCAGCCACCGTCAGCAGTTGCTCAGAGCCTGGCCCATTCAGACATTTTCCAAAACATCTGCAGGCCAAGAAGCGAGGTCACCACGTCGGAAACATACTTCATTGAATGCCGGTCAATTTGTTAGGTGCCCTTCTCTGCACTCTATCATTTCTGAAGGCTATGAACTGTAAGGATTATCTTGAGACCTAGACCCCCCTAAAAGACAAAAAGAGCCCATCAGTGTTAGTTGGGCCCCCACATACCGCTGTTGCGCCATGGCTTCTGACTTGAAGGGGTGTGGAAAGGTGTCCCAGAACCAGTCGGCTCGACCGAAGGACGAGGTGCTCAAGGAAATCCAACAGGTGCTCAGTCAAAACAGGGTGCTACAAATCGAGTTCTTTGACTTCCGGGTGCGGCAGTACTTGCATGCGTTGTTCGGAACTGGTGGAAGGCCGCGGTTGAGGGCCGCCTTGGCCATGGTTCATGCGCGCACGCTGCACAGGACCAAGCAGGATGTGAAGAATTGGCCAGCCTACCTCGTGACGCTGCTGAAGAATTTCGATCCCGACAAGGCCACTGAGGAGTGGCTGTGGAAGCAGCCACGCGCTGAAACGGCGCTCGGGGAGGTCAACAGCGCACTCTCCTCGGCATCCACGACACCTCCGACATGTGACAAGACGGACCATGAGGGTGATGAGACAGAGTCCAGTAAGGGCGAGGCAGATGACAGTTTTGATGAAACGCAGAGGTACCTCAGGGAGCAGGGGAAGCTGCTCCAAAAGGAGATTGGAATTCAGCACTTGGCAACAAAGCTGCAGGAGAAGCAGGATCATGCCGACCACTTGGAGAAGAAGCTGGAAGAAATGCAGGCCACGATTGACAACCTGCTGGGGCAGCTCGTGGAGAAGAAAGCCGATGCGCAGACTACGGGGACTCGAGCGGGTGAGGAACGGTGGCAGTTCCAGGGTGACGATGGCGAGTGGAGGTCGTTCCCAGACGACGCGAACAGTGACTGGGTAGCCCAGTGGTGCCCTTCTCCCTTGTTTTGGGTTCAAGGTGTCCCTAAAACAGTAACCAGCCCAAAAAAAAACCCCAAAAAAGAGGGGGGGGGGGGTGCCCCGATATCGTAAGATGGTTGCTGGGCTACCAGGGATCCCTTATACAGTCACCAACCCTTAAGAAAGGGGTGCCCTTACTGTAAGATGGTTGCTGGGCTACCAAGGTGAGCTCATGCGCCAGTTCCGGGAAGGCCAGTGGCACTGCACGATCAAGATACGTGGGAAGGTGTATTCTGTCAACCTGAAGGAGGCTTGGTCGCCCAGTGGTACCCTTTGCCCTTTTCTTGGTTTTGGGGTTTAGGGTTTAGGGTTCAGGGTTCAGGGTTCAGGGTTTAGGGGTTCTGGGTTCCCTTATAAAGCAACCAACCAAAAAAAGGGCACGCCCTGATTAGAGTAAGGTTACCGGGCTTCCAAGGAGGGCTGGCAGATGAACCAGCAGACCTCAAGAATGCGGTGGATCCGCTGCTTTTTCGAAGTACCAAAGCATTGGAAGTTGACCGACGAAGAAGCATTGAGTTTTTTCAATCCCGTGGGCGCCGGCGTGCTTCCTGCGACGGCTCAGGCAGTGGCTGACTCGCAAGTGGTCTGGAGGCTCGAGCGGCTGCTCAATCAGGCACGGGCGCGCCATGATGGTAGCAGCTGCATGTGTAGCCATGGGAGCTCGCGCTTCTTAGTGGTGGAGGCTTTTCAGGTGGGCGGTTGTCAAAATGATGGTCCTTTTCTTGGATCCCTATTATAGTACAGCACCGAATATTTAGGGGTACCCAAAAGGGATCATAATTTGGACAGCCACCCAGGTCAAGAACCTTCACCTGTGGCGGCGGTACCAGCGCTTTGTCCAGTCCATGCGCGAGAAGCACCTTCTGCATGGCCTCTCCCCCGAGCCTTTGTCATAGCGGGGGATAACCTTTTAAATGTTTAAGGGTACTTAAGCTCAATAAGGAATAGAGATTGAAATCTTAATTACTATCCCAGCCATGAACGAGGAGCCCTGTCCAGCACTTGGCCAAGCTTTGGCTGAGTTTGCTTGGGATCTGGACGTCGACGAAGCCAGCGATGAGCGGCTTCTGCTACACGGGACCCGGGATTTGGAGACTGCCGGCAAGATTCTTGGCTTTCCTCTGGCTGGCTCTTAGGACTCTAACCCTTAGGGTTGTTGTAGAAGCTACAAAAAAGAGCCCAAAAGTTAGACTTTCAGGAGGGGTTCGGAAGTCAGCCGAGGATTGCGGTCGAAGGTTTCGACAACCGAGTCTGGGAGCGCAGCGGCTTGTATGGGCGAGGAAGCTACTTTGCATGCCAGAGCTGCAAAAGTGCCTCGGGGTAGCCCAGGTGGTGCCCCTCTTCCCTGTTGTTTTGGGCCAAGGTGCCCCTTATTAGCAGTAGCCCACCCTTTAAAAAAGGGGTGCGCCCTTGTTGTTAAGATGGCTATAATACTGGGCTACCAAGGTGCGCAGTATGCGAGCAGCTTCGGCACGCACCACAAGGCATCCTTCGATGCAATGGGGACCATCCTCCTTGCTCGGGTGGCCATCGGGCACCCCTTCTTTGCCGAGGGCCCGTGCAAGGAGCGCACGCGGCCCCCGGAGAAGTACGGCGTGCGCGCGGACTCCATCGTCGCGATGCCCGGGATTCCCAATGGCCTGCCGGGCCCTTCGGGCGTGCAAGGCCACATGGAGGTGGTGACCTTCGACCCTGCGCAGGCATATCCGGAATTCATCGTGAGGTTCATTGAGCAGTAGAATCCGTCACATGGCCATTCCGGGAGGTTCGTTCTTCCGAAGACTCCAACATCTTATAGTTCCGAGCTGTACAGAGTTGTTACAAATGTGTGGTATTCGCATTGACTGGTTGCCCAAAATGATGTGTTTTGGGGTCCTCCCTTCTTGTTAGAGGGGGGCTGTCCATAACATGAGCTATAGTGTTTGGGGGATCTGAGGGGAGCCGACTGAATGTTTGGGGTGTATGAAGGGTACCTCTGTTTCGGGAAATGCCCACATCTTCTTTGCTGAGCTGATCTTCAAAAGTAAGATCTTCGTGCAGATTTGTAGCCAGAACAGGCTGCTGCCTCAGGGGAAAGCAGAAGGCAGTGGAGAGAAACACGTCTCGGGTGCGGTTCGTTGCCATCGTTGTCCTTCGAGATCTCACGAAACCCTCCGCCTCAACCCCGGAAAGCCGAAGCCTGGATGGTGTGAGGCTTCTTTCGGCTGCAGGGGTTTTTGTCTAAGCCCTAGAAATCCTAAACCTTCAGCCCCAAAACCCTAAACCCTGAAAAACCCTGACGCCAAAAGATGCTGAAGCCCAGCATGAGATCCCTTTGCGTAGGGTTTAGGGGTCTCCGAGCTTAGGGTTTAGGGTTTAGGGTTTAGGGTTTAGGGTTTAGGGTTTAGGGTTTAGGGTTTAGGGTTTAGGGATACCTCGTTGGGCTCCTGATAAGGGAATCCTATGTCCTGTGATTTGGTGGTTTGTATTCGGGGCCTCTTACATGGTGCAAACCCCCCCAGAGTTTAGGGTTGAAGTTTAGATTCTCCTCTGCTGTCTTTGATCAGGAGCCCTAAACGCCTTCTGGCACTACTGTGAAGTATATACTGTGCTCAGGATTCCAAAAAACCCTGCAAACCCTAAGCCCTAGATCCAGTTAAAACGAAATTCTCCTAGGCCCAAAACCCTAAACCCTCAACCCTCCAAATTTTAAACCCTAAACCCTAAACCCTAAACCCTAAACCCTAAACCCTAAACCCTAAACCCTAAACCCTAAACCCTAAACCCTAAACCCTAAACTTCCTGCGGTTTGGGGCCTGTGCTCTGGTGTCCGCTTGCCTGTCCAGAATGGCTCCAGCGTGTTCCCCCGGAAAGCAACTCCCAGGCTGCCTTGTTGAGTTAGGGGTTTAGGGTTTAGGGTTTAGGGTTTAGGGTTTAGGGTTTAGGGTTTAGGGTTTAGGGTTTAGGGTTTAGGGTTAGGGTTTAGGGTTTAGGGTTTAGGGTTTAGGGTTTAGGGTTTGGGGTTTGGGGTTTGGGGTTTGGGGTTTGGTGTTTGGGGTTCGGGTTTAGGGGTGTAGGGGTTATAAGTTTAGGGTCCGCAGGTTCTAGGGTTGAGGGTCATGGGGGCTCATGGGCAGATAGAAGTAGGGTTTTCAGTAGGGCAACTTGGAACATAACCTCTGTAGAGCATATCTAACCCCACTAAGATTGGTAGCAACACTCACAACAACGACCTTAGTAAGCAACACTGGGTTTCGGGGCGACGATCATGAAGTGTGAGTTTTGCTGGACTCCTGGCTTTCGACCCTAAACCCTAAAAACTGAACCCTAAACCCTGAACCCCAAATCCTAAAGCCGTAAACCCTAAACCACGCCGTCTGTTTCGAGCCATTGCGAGCTTTCTCGTGAGCTCGTGATGGTCCGTGGCAGCCGCTGTCAGTTTCGTGGCGCACTCGGATTTCGATGCTGGGTTGTTTTGTTGCCTGATTTAGGTAGAGGCCGCTGTAAGGCGTGAACTTGAACTGCCGGCTCTGGGCTCAAGCGTCCCGCCCGTGGTCGCAAGGTGTCCCGAGCTGATGGAGTTGCCCCCAAGCAGGGTGGTGTGGCTCATCCGGGCCTGCGCCTTGGTAGCCCAGTGTTGTGCCCCTTGCGCGCCCCCCCCCCCTTTTTTTTTTTCAAATCGGATTAGTTCTAGGTGCCCGTTTAAAGTAACCAACCCCCCCCCCGGCCCCGCCTAAACCCTAAACCCTAAACCCCCTATGAAAGGTCCCTTGTTATGGTCTGGTTACCGGGCGAGCAAGGTGCCGACTGGACCGATCCCGAAACACTTTGTCGCTTGGCTGCTTCATCGAAGCAACTACAGGAAGCTGGGACTGCCATATGGGGCCTTGAGAAGAACGTAGAACCCCCCCCCCCTTCAACAAAAATAAAGATACTAAGGAGGAGGCCACAAGGTAAACCCTAAACCCTACACCCTACACCCTACACCCTAAACCCTAAACCCTAAACCCTAAACCCTAGACCCTAGACCCTAGACCCTAAACCCAAAAGAGCACTCAAGTGAGCCCTGGGCTCATTTTTTTCTGTGGGGAATTTTAGGGAAGTCGGTGGCTCCTCCTGATAAGTTTAAGGTTTAGTAAGGTTTAGGGTGTAGGGTTTAGGGTTTAGGGTTTAGGGTTTAGGGTTTAGGGTTTAGGGTTTAGGGTTTAGGGTTTGTGTTTGCTGTGAGGTGACTTGTTTTGCGTCTTGTGAGGGAGTTCTTGAGATGGTTGGCTCATTCCAGGGTCTGTGGAAGTAAGGATCTTCTTCTTGATTTTGGTGACTTTCCAGGGAGTTTAGGGTTTAGGGTTTAGTTTAGGGTTTAGGGTTTAGCGCTTAGGGTTTAGGGTTTGGGAGTTTCGTGCATGCTCCTCAGCCACCTGAGCAAACCCAAGGAAGCCAATGGGGACAAGCATTGGAGGGCGCTGGCGTCAAACATGGTGCTGCGCCCGCTTCATGTGGACACCCAGGCTCGGGCCTTCGCAGAGCTCTCTTCTTCAACTCCCTCTCGGGCAGCAGGTGCTGCGGGCATGAAGGGCGCCATGAAGACCGAGGTTCTGAAGTTGTACTATCCGGTGTTCCAGGTGCGGCGGCGCGTTCGCGCGATGTGGAGGGACATCGAAGCGCTGTGGGAGGAGATGCTGCCTGAAGCCCTCTTGAGCTTGCTTCCAGGGGCAGGAGAAGAGGACCTCGAGCGATTTGAAGAACAGCTGGGTTGTCTTCTTCCAGAGGATTTGGCCGAAAGCTTGAGGGTGCACGAGGGCATGAGGGAATCTGGGCAAAGGAAAGGCCAACTCCTCCTGGAGTTGGAGCGAGATGATCCCCACAGCTTCGCCACGGTGCGCCTGCGTCCTCTTCAACAAATGACTGACCTTGTGAGGGCCGCTCGCCTCGAGGCAGATGCACGGTTCCCAGAGGATGTCCGTCCCCGTGATGCTGCTCATTCCATCTTGTACCAGTCGCACAATGAGCTGCCCTTGATGGCTGTGGCTTTCATGGTGGACAGACGCGCACGTTTTACTCGTCCCCCAAGTCCCTGGTTGCCGCTGTTCGCAAGCGACTGCCTCTCTGTTCGTAGACTTCCACGCGCTGACGCAAGATCGCAAAATGTTCTCCTCGCGTTCCCACACCATGGCCGCATGACAGTCCTTGAGGCACTCGATTCACCGGACAAGCTTGAAGATTTGGTCCATCCACCTGGGGCGGTGGGGTACTTGAGGATTGCCGGCTTCTGTGGCCCGACGTGGTATGCTCACGCCAACTGCTTTGAGCAGTACTTGGGCGACGGCCTGGAGATGTTGCGGACAGTCCAGCACGCTTGGTCGCTGCCGTGCTCTGGCTGTTCGCCAGATTGGCCCGGCTGGCATTGTCCAAAGTGCAAGCGGGTGGTCGGGGAGTCCTTGGCTGATGCCTTGGAGCGTGCGCTCCCAGCAAGCAGTCGGGAGTATTACTTTGACCAGGACTCTTGGTGGGCAGCTGGTTTGAGATCCTATGGTTGGGACCGGCCATACTTCAAAGCGCGCCGGCTGGGCAGTAAGGCGCCTTTCATGCAATCGCCTTAGGTGCCGAGGCCCCGGCTGCCCAGAAATCTTCATCTTGTACAGATTTTGACAGCTTTGGCATGTGTGCCATGTCATGGATGGAGCTGAGATGGTTCTTGTGGACGGGAGTGCTGCCGTGCCGCGGCACAGAGCGCAGAGAAAGCGAGCGAGAGAGGGAAACAAGGATGCTTGCACGATTTGCCCTGTGTTTCTGCCAAGGGCCTAGGCGTTGCGAGTGTTGTGCTGGCCTAGGTCCACGAGCTTGATGCTCTTCCCCTCAGCTGCGTCGTGCGCGGCCGCAGGCGCATGCCATAATCCCCTAAACCCTAAACCCTAAACCCTAAACCCTAAACCCTAAACCCTAAACCCTAAACCCTAAACCCTAAACCCTAAACCCTAAACCCTAAACCCTAAACCCTAAACCCTAAACCCTAAACCCTAAACCCTAAACCCTAAACCCTAATTAAACCCTAAACCCTCATAGTTAGAAGGCCGCGCCAGTGGCCCAGTACCATCATCCGTGGCCTTAAGTGCCGTCCGCGCACTGCAGGGTGAAACAGCTGCGGAGCTTTTGGGGGTTTCGGGGGGCACGTGCCACGTCTGACAATGTGCAGGAATTTGCCTTACATCCGAGAAGCCGCAAGCCTCAACCCTTGATGAAACTTTTCGGGGTCAACCTTTCCAGCTTTTCAGCTGTTGAACGTGATCATGCTGGGTGATTTTGGTACCAAAAACCCCAAATTCTGGACTCCTACCGGGCTATCCGATGACTTGATGTCTTTATGTTTGCGGTGTGGGTAAGTGACATGGTAAAACTGCAAACCACTTACAGGTCATGCAGGGGGGGGGGGATGTTGGGAGCTTCGAGGGCTCTGACTTTGAGAGGGCCCCCCTTAGGCCCGTCACTAGCTTTGCCCGCTTTTTTTTGAGTGTTGCGCTTGCAGGCGTTTGCAGATCAAGCCGTCCATGTGAACCCCCCGAAACCACCCAAGGAAACTTCCAAAGCCAACTTAAACCCCACAAACTCCAACATCCCTGAACCAGGGAAGATTCTACTCTCCCAGAACATCCCCAAAATACCCTCGACCCCCAGGCCCTAAGCCGCCCTAAGCCTCCCTAAGCCTCCCTCAGCCTCCCTGAGCCTCCCTAAGCCCTAAACCCTAAACCCTAAACCCGAAACCCTAAACCCGAAACCCTAAACCCTAAACCCGAAACCCGAAAACCCTAAACCCTAAACCCTAAAATGGAGATGCGGCCGGGAAGGGCCACTTCCATGGCGCCCCCTGGCCTGCTTACTGCAGGCACCAGGGCCGGAGGATTCAAGGTACCTAAACCCTAAACCCTAAACCCTAAACCCTAAACCCTAAACCCTAAACCCTAAACCCTAAACCCTAAACCCTAAACCCTAAACCCGAAAGCCCGAAAAAACCCTTGCAACACAAAAACACCCTACAAGCCCTATGAACCCCATAAGCCCTATAAGCCCGAAACCCTAGAAGACCCTAAGCTCTAAACCTACAAACCCAAAACCCTACTAGGGCTTAGGGGCGTTTTTATCCGAAGGGGTTTTTATTTTGTTTGGGTGGAAGGCGGGGTTCGAGGATGCTGGGCATTCTTGGGTTTAGGGTTTAGGGTTTACGGCTTAGGGTTTAGGGTTTAGAGTTTAGGGTTTAGGGTTTAGGTTTAGGGGAGGCGCATTAGGGAGTCTGTCAGGGTTGGTTTGCGTCGTTGGTTTGTTTATCGATCCATGCGGACTAGCTTGCTATCACCACTTGCGAACACCCTAAACCCTAAACCCTAAACCCTAAGCTCTAAGCCCTAAACCCTAAACCCTAAACCCTAAACCCTAGACCCTAAACCCTAAACCATAAACCCCAAACCCTGAACGATCGCATCTGACGGACGTAAGCTCCATCATTCACTGTCAATTTGCCGCTCCGGTGGGCCTCCAGAAGGAACCGTAAGGCTTGAGGTCCAGGGTCCAGGGTTTAGGGTTTAGGGTTTAGGGTTTAGGAAACCATAAGCCGCCGCAAAAATGAAAAACAAGACCCCGTACTTCCAATTGACCTAAGAACTAGAGTCTGTGAAACTCACTCCTGATGGGGGGGAGCTTTGTCATCGTGGGGCAGCGTTTTGGATTTTCAGGGTACTTAAACTCAATAACCCTAAACCCTAAACCCTTAGCCCTAAACCCTAAACCCGAAACCCTAAAGCCTAAACCCTAAACCCTAAACCCTAAGCCCTAAACCCTAAACCTAAAATAAGGGATAGACATTCCGATTCTTCATGCTTTCCCAACTATGAACTAGGGAGGGGCGGCGGGGGTTTAAGGTTTAGGGTTTTGGGATTTGGGGTTCATCGAGGGGTTTAGGGGTTTAGGGTTCGCGTTTAGGGATTTTTAGGTTTAGGGTTTTTTAGGTTTAGGGTTTTGGGTTTGGAGTTGTCGGGTTAGGGTTTAAGGTTCGGGATTAGGGGTTTCAAGGCTTTGCGGGTTTTGCCTAGGGTTTTCGGTGTTTAAGGCTTTGTTTGGGCTGTCATGGCGGGTTTTCGGGTTTAGGGTGTAGGGTATAGGTTTGTGTGAGGGTTTTGGGCTAGGAGGTTGGGTAGGGGGGGGGGGGAGTGCTGTAATACCACCCCCCTTCCCCCCCCCTCCCCCATTTGTATTGTTTGGGAGCCCCCCATCCCTTCACACTTGAAGCATCTCCCTCAGTGGTTGTGGGTTGGTTTTATGGCGAGGGTTGTAGGGTTTTGGGGCATAGAGTTGTCCCTCCTCCCACTCCTGTGGTGTGGCTGTGGCTTGGTTTCAGGGTTTGCGAGTTAGAGCGGGTTTAGGTTTTCGGGTACCCAAACCCGGCCCAAGTCCTGCCAGACGCCTGGCCAGAAAAATTCGGTTTCGCATGTAGGGTCAGATTTTGTTTTTTCCCAGGGAATGAAGGAACAAGGTGCTTTTGTATCCACTTTAGCTGCCATGAATGCCTCCCTGACAAACCTCATTCGTCCTGAAAGCCGTCCGAGGAAGTGTATCAGGAACAACATGTTCCAAGGACCTAGGCTGCGCATGTTCTGGCTATCTGGTTTACACATGTCACGATGTAATGTACTGACCCTGTGCTACTGCTCCCAACTCAACCTTCATCCCCTGTCGCGAAGATGTCTAGGCCATTCATGAGCTTGCAAGATGATTTTCCTGAAGTTGCATGTGACGTGCATGCCCCAGCCCTCATGCCCCAACGCTCCTTTGAATGCGATTGAGGGCGGCCTGATAGCATTTTTTTTGGGCTCGGGCCCCCCCGGCAAAAGCCCTCAGATCCTATGATCCACCAGCTTTCAAGAGCACAAAACCTGCGTCGCGTCGACCCGCCGAGGGTATGTTGAGCAGCTTGTAGGTGGGGTTTAGGGTTTAGGGTTTAGGGTTTAGGGTTGGGGTTGGGGGTTTAGGGTTCAGGGTTTAGCGTTGAACTCCTTGCACTCAGTGTATTTGGTGAGTTTTGGTAAGGGGATAGTATGGGTAATAATTTGGGCTTCTGTAGCACACTGAACAACCCCGCGTTTCGAGCACCTTCTCGGACTTTCCCGGTATTGCAAAGCAACAAAAGGGGGTGTAGGTGTCTAGGGGACACACCCGAAGCCCCAAACCCCACCTTAAACCTTACAACTGGACTAGGACCCGGAGTAGGCAGGCTTTTTGGGTGGGGTTCTCTGATAATCCCATAAAACCAAAAAGGGCACCCTTTTCATTCCTAGGTTACTCCTCGGTCTAGTTGATCTCCCAAGCTCAATCCACGTTGCAGAGCCTCGGAAGGGTTAATCTTCCCCTAAGCCGGGAATTCTTGAATACACCCCCCCCCCCCCCCCGCCCCCGAAACCCTAGTTGAGCGGTGAAGTGTGTCAGACAAAAAACCCAAGAAAAGCAACAAACCCATCAACAAGTCATGCCGTCCGTGGCATCACACTCTCAAACCCTAAACCCTAAACCCCCTTATTGTAAACCCCTAAACCCTCAACCCCAAAGCTCTGGTTTCCGGCAACTCTCGATTCATTCCTCTCCCGCAGGAGACTCATCCGTGCCACTCTGTACTGCCGGGTGGACCGACAGAGCCAGCGTGAGGCTGTGCTTGACAGGGTTGAAAGGGTTAATAGGTTTTTAGGCCTTAGCATGAATGGGGCTTATAGGCTTGTAGGCTTATAGGCTTAATGGGCTTTATAGGCTGATTGGGCTTTACAGGGTTTATAAGGTTTGTAGGGTTTTGTCGGGTTTAGGGTTTCGGGGGGCCGCCCTAAACCGCGTATGCCTCATAATCCCCCCGCCAAAAAAAACAAAAAACATTCTTCCTTGTACGCGTAATGTATAGGGATTGTAGTTCTAGGGCTTATACTAGGGTTTGGAGTTAAGGGCTTATCATAGGGTTTGGGGAGTTTGGGGCGGGTTTAGGGTCTACGGCTTATATAGGGTTTAGGGTGTGGGGCCCCCCCACCGAAATACTTTCTGCATGGGGAGCTCATGCCCAATTTTTTCAGTCAGTCCCCATCGCATGAACGTTCCTGCTCTCCAGACTCCCCAATCGAATGGGAATACTCCCGAATCCCCCATCCGGAACACCTGAAAACCTTGACCCCGACAGGCCTGACACCTTTAATTGCATAGCGTTGGCAGCCTCGGACTTGTCTGCGGCGTGCGAGGGTGGCATGTATCCAGGGTTTAGGGAGTTCAGGGTTTAGGGTTTAGGGTTGCATTTACAGTGCATCAGTTGCCATTTGGTCGCGTCTTTACAAATTTTAGTCCCCCTCGGGAGAACTATCAAAGGCGACCCCTATATAATATTTAGGGTACCCAAAACAGGACCATCATTTTGAGGACTGGCCATATCTTCCACTGCCGAAGCTCCACTGTTGGCCCGCATGGAAGCCATCTGTTTTGCTACGAAGGCTACCAAGAAAGGCACACCCCAAAGCCTAAACCCTAAACCCTAAGCCCTAAGCCCTAAGCCCTAAACCCTAAACCCTAAACCTTAAACCCTAAACCCTAAACCCTAAACCTTAAGCCCTAAGCCCTAAGCCCTAAGCCCTAAGCCCTAAGCCCTAAACCCTAAACCCAAAACCCTAAGCCCTAAACCCAAAACCCTAAACCCGGTGCAACCTGAACCCGAAGCCCGACGCAAAAGCCGCGTGAGAAGCTGGTTGCAGTCCGGAGGATGTCTTTAGGATGACTCGGAAGCAGGATTAGGGTTTAGGGGGTGGTCCCTACTTGGATCTTCAGGTTAGATATAACTGGGGCTTGGATGTCGGGCTGGGATGTTCACGTTGACGTTTATAACGAACGGTGGTTGTATAAGTAGGACAAGTCTTTAACTGATGTCATCCTGTTCTGGGGCCCTTCGCCCCCCACCAAAGCATGCAAAACCTCCAAGAATGCCAAAGGGGTTTAGGGTCTAGGATGGGAACTTCTGACGCGACGTGACAAGTGGCCCGCGCAGCGACTAGTTTTTGCCACACCGTACTCATTGTTTTCTTTGCCATTCCCTGCATAGACCCCAGAAAAGAAGGATGCCTCAACGAGCGACAGCGTAGAGAACAAAAGCCCACAAGTAACCAGCCCTTGGTAGCCCAGTGGTACCCTTTACCCGTTTTGTGGTTCTGGGTTCCCTTATTTTGTAACCAACCCAAAAAAGGGTGCCCTTGCTGTAATGGTTTAGGGTTTAGGGTTTAGGGTTTAGGGTTTAGGGTTTCGGGCTTCGGGCTTAGGGCTTAAGGCTTAGGCCAAAAAAGGGTGCCCTTATTCTAAGATGGTTGCTGGGCTACCACGAGGCCAGTGTCACGGCATTCCTCCCATGCAAGTTGTGAAAGTCGACTCCAAACCCCAAACCCCAAACCCCAAACCCTAAGCCCCAAACCCCAAACCCTAAACCCTAAACCCTAAACCCTAAACCCTAAACCCTAAACCCTAAACCCTAAACCCTAAACCCTAAACCCTAAACCCTAAACCCTCGAGAACTCGCAGGGTGTTCTCCCTGTAGCCGTTTGTACGCCAAGCCTTGAGCAGTCAGAGAACTGCTCACCGCTCAGGGTGTTTCCTGTGTTTGCCGTCTCGGGATTCTTTCGTTGCATGGCCCATCTTCTGAGCTTGGTCCTCTTGGTCCTGGTTGTGGCAGTAGCCAGCAACTTCCAGGCGGAAATTTTCGCAGTGAGGGCGGGGGGGGGGGGGCTGTAGCTCGTCAGGGCCTCAGCAGAAGCGTGCTTTCAAGTTAGTTCCAAAGGAATAAAATGCAGAAATCAGATGTCCGCGGGGTTTTCGCAACTTTCCAACGGGCGTGGAACACGACAGCCCCTCTAGGTAGGATAAGGGGGACCCTTAAAGGGGACCCTTCTGAACCCTCTTCTGGCTCTCTTCAACAGGTACCTTATTCAGAGGGTCCCCATATCCCCAAGGGTCCCCCTAATCCTATCCCCTACTCGGAAAAGGCTGAGCTGGACTCTTCACCATCTTACCCTAAACCCTAAACCCTAAACCCTAAACCCTAAACCCTAAACCCTAAACCCTAAACCCTAAACCCTAAACCCTAAACCCTAAACCCTAAACCCTAACCCCTAAAACCTAAACCCTAAACCCTAAACCCTAAACCCTAAACCCTAAACCCTAAACCCTAAACCCTAAACCCTAAACCCTAAACCCTAAACCCTAAACCCTAAACCCTAAACCCTAAACCCTAAACCCTAAACCCTAAACCCTAACCATAAACCCTAAACCCTAAACCCTAAACCCTAAACCCTAAACCCTAAACCCTAAACCCTAAACCCTAAACCCTAAACCCTAAACCCTAAACCCTAAACCCTCTTCTCTTCTGCAGCCAGGTGGTGTCCAACGACTATGCCTTTGCCCTGGTGAATGTTCTGACCGGCAAGGGAGCCTCGGGAGCCCAGTGGTACCCCTTTGCTCCTTTTTTTTGGGTTCTGGGTTCCCTTATAAAGTAACCAACCCAAAAAAGGGTGCCCTTACTTTAATGGTTTAGGGTTTAGGGTTTAGGCTTTAGGGTTTAGGGTTTAGGGTTTAAGGTTTAGGGTTTAGGGCTAGGGTGTAGGGTTTAGGGTAAGATGGTTGCTGGGCTACCAAGGAGCATGTTGGGGCGACAATCGCTTGGGTGGCAACTGCAGTTCGGTGGACTTCTCCAACGTCCAGCAGGCGGCCGCAGGGTGCAAGGGTTTAGGGGTTGTGCAGTTTAGCCATTCAGGGTTTAGGGTTTAGGGTTTTGGGGGTTTAGGGGTTTGGGGTTTAGGGGTTTAGGGGTTTAGGGGTTTAGGGTTTTAGGGGTAAAGGGTTTAGGGTTTAGGGTTTAAGGTTTAGGGTTCAGGGCTTAGGGTTTAGGGTTTAGGGTTCAGGGTTTAGGGTTTAGGGTTTAGGGGGGTTTAGGGTTTACGGGTTAGGGGATCCATCCGTCAGGTGAAAGCCAACGCCGACGCCTTCCTCGCGCTCGGCACGACGGGCGGCGCCTGCTGGGGAAACGCCAACTCTGGAGGCCATGTTGCGCACTCCATTTAGGGTTTAGGGTTTAGGGTTTAGGGTTTAGGGGTCTAGGGTTCAGGGTCTAGGGTTTAGGGTTTGGGGGGCACTCCGTTTGGTCCATGTTATAACAAGGGTACTATTTTCGTTTTATTGAGGGAACCTTGAGAACCAAGAAAATGCATATGGGTACTTCTGGGCTACCAAGACAGATGGGGGTGGGGTTCTGAAAATAGGGTCCTTTGTTATTTATTGTTATTCATTTGTTATTTTTGTTTGGGGGGGGGGGTTCCTATAACAAGGGTTCTAGTTTTTAGGGGTATATTATATGATATGCGGGGTTCCCCTATTTTGGGGTTTAGGGTTTAGGGTTTGGGGTTTAGGGTGTAGGGTTTAGGGTTTGGGGTTTAGGGTTTAGGGTTTAGGGTTTATGCAAGACATCGTGCACATCCGATGATCCAGACGCAGTCGACTTGTGGAGCCACTACGGTAACGACCTAAACCCTTAGGGTTTAGGCTTAGAGTTTAGGGTTTATAAGGGTTTAGGGTTTAGGGTTTAGGGTTTAAGGTTTAGAGTTTAGGGTTTATAAGGGTTTAGGGTTTAGGGTCTGGTTCAGGGACTGTTACGGGATTTTAGAGTGGCTACAAGGACAAGGCAACAAGGACTGGACACACGAAACACAAAACGCGCTTCAACTCTTCCAACCCACTGCGTGTTACATCACCCACGAACTTATGACAACAACGAAAGGCAGATGACCCACAAACCCTCAGCGCCTCAAGTATGCGGTGAGGCAACAAGGATATTGACAAGTGGGGGGCAGCGTACCCATAAATTCCAATACGGAACAACACAAGGCGAATCACGCCAATGCTACACGCGGCGACTAACAGAGATAAGAACAAAGTGTTACTCGTACGGGCAACAACGACAGAAATTGAAATCCTGTGGTACTAGTCATAACGAATCAGAAATACCAATGAAGAATACTAAGCGAACTAACGAACGGCAATTCGAGGCGATTGCACGGGGCTCGACTTCACAGGGATGACCGAAGTCGCGGCCACGGATTACAGCTTTGCGGTGCTGGATCCGGTGCAGGGCAGAGGCCCCATGGGGGTTTAGGGTTTAGGGTTTGGGGTTTAGGGTTTAGAGTTTAGGGTTTAGGGTTTAGAAGCCCTAACTAATTCAGGAAGATGGCTGGCATGTTCCCTCGCCCTACGCTCCTCACAGCCATGGTGCATCTCCTTTGCCTGAGTGTCCGAGCAGGGTTTGGGGGGTTTGGGATTTAGGGTTTAGGGCTCAGGATGCAGGGTTTAGGATTGAGGATTCAGGAGTTAGGATTTAGAGAAGCCGCTTCGTTTGTGCGGAGTGATTACATGAACCCTCTGAGATATCAGGGTTTGGGGAGCCGACTCATGAAGAAGCATTGCTTGGTTACGATTAAGCTCTTCGAGGAGCCGGATAGTCAGCCAACCCAGCGTCCGTTACACCCTAAACCCCTAAACCCCCTAAACTCCCTAAACCCTGAACTCCCTAAACCCTAAACCCTAAACCCCCTAAACCCTAAACCCTAAACCCTAAACCCTAAACCCTAAACCCCTAAACCCCTAAACCCCTAAACCCCTAAAAACCCCTAAACCCCTAAAAACCCCTAAACCCTAAACCCCTAACCCCCTAAACCCCTAAACCCCTAAACCCCTAAACCCCTAACCCCCTAACCCCCTAAACCCCTAAACCCCTAAACCCCTAAACCCCTAAACCCCTAAACCCCTAAACCCCTAAACCCCTAAACCCCTAAACCCCTAAACCCTAAACCCTAAACCCTCAACCCTAAACCCTAAACCCTAAACCCTAAACCGCCCTGAGCCCCAAAGTGGAGGCCTCTGCTTCGGCTCCTCAGCCTACGGTGGCGACTGCAGCGGGGTAGACTTCACCCATGCCAGCATCTTGGTTGTCGTGCCCTAGTATAGCCCTAAACCCTAAACCCTGGACCCTAAACCCTAAACCCTAAACCCTAAACCCTAAACCCTAAACCCTAAACCCTAAATCCTAAACCCTAAACCCTAAACCCTAAACCCTAAACCCTAAACCCTAAACCCTAAACCCTAAACCCTAAACCCTAAACCCTAAACCCTAAACCCTAAACCCTAAACCCTAAACCCTAAACCCACCCTAAACCCTAAACCCTAAACCCAGGGGTGCCCCTTTGCCCTTCGTTGCTTCTAGCTTCCCTTCTCAAGCAGCCAACCCCCAAGAAGGTTACCCTGATCAACATTTTGCTTTTCTGGGCCAACAAAGTATTTGTTCTTCCTTAACTTTAGGACTATCTGCCCTTCTTGGGCTCAAGAGTAAACCCTAAACCCTAAACCCTAAACCCTAAACCCTAAACCCTAAACCCTAAACCCTAAACCCTAAACCCTAAACCCTAAACCCTAAACCCTAAACCCTAAACCCTAAACCCTAAACCCTAAACCCTAAACCCTAAACCCTAAAAGAGAGCGAGAGAGAGAGAACTCCTAAATGCTGTTTGGAATGTGTTTCGGATGTCTTTTTTCGGCGCAGCCTAGGCAAGATCTACTCGAATCTCTTGGCCTTCGCACCTCGGCGTTTGGAAGCCCAGGCGCCGCACGTGCCGGTGGGAGCCACCGAAAGTGAAGCTGCTTGCAGCTCTGTCAATCCCTAAACCCTAAACCCTGAACCCTAAACCTCAAACCTTAAACCCTAAACCCTAAAACGCGGAAGTTGCCGCCATCGGCGGGCAAGTGTTGCGCATTCTTTTGCTTGACCCATGCTTTCGGGACCCGTGTTGTGTTTGCATGGAACGGGTGAGCCTCCAAACCCTTGACGCCTTGGATCCTTCAAAGTTTTCATTGGGAGCCCCCGGAGTGTCGAGAGTGTTTGGTAACCCGGCGGTCTTGTTTCGGCATCCCTTGCGAATCACCAGAGAGACGCGCAGCCATGCGCACATGCGCAGACAGGGTTTCGAAGGTATGTTCACACATTAACATCTTTACCGTACATTTCCAAGTAACTTCTCTGATGGCTCGGAGGACAATCCGAGCCACCCTCAGGTTGGGTTCACCACTTTGCCTCTCCCGTGCAAGGGCACAGGTTCTTGCAACAGCTGCATCAACACCTTCTCTTGACCACTCTCAAGAGCACACTTCTTCTGACGGATGCAGCCACCTGGAAACCGAGGTGGCGATTGGTGGCAGCTTTGGGCAATGCTGGGGTCACACTTCTTTTGGTGGCGACTGCAGTGGCATCAGCTTCAATGGTGTCACCGAGGTGGGCGGAGAGAATGTGAGTTTGTTGTGTGGGAACTGTCCGAATCATGACGATTTCTGACATCTGATAGCACGTGCCCGGAGTGAGGGGAACACTGAAGAGTCAACAATCAAGATGCTCGTCACTGTTATGTCCGTGTGGGCAGCAAGCGCGTGCAAGTCATAGATAGCCACGGCAGATTTGCAGCAGAGGATGACGATCAATCTGTTTCAGCTCTTTAAATCCATGCAGCAATTACTCCCCACTCTGGGTTCATAACAGCAATCGACCCCGCATACCCCAAACGCCGGCACCTCGACCCGACCCTCCTGCACTCGCAGCCCACAGTGCTGCCGCACGGGGAACAGTCGCGATTGTTTTTTTAGAAGGCTGCGTGGCGTAGCACAGGGATCCATGAAATCGCCGTGTAGTCAGTCCACAGCAAAGGAACATAAAGGAACTCAGTGTCTGTGAGGTGGTGGCAGGAGATTATGCCTTTGTTGCCTTGAACAAAGCTGCTGGCACCATTCAATGCTGGGGTTTCCCCAGCTATGGAGGCGCGCCCGGTGTTCTGAGAACCGGTAGTTTCGTCGAGCTTCCCACATCCGGTGGCAACAAGGGTTTGGGGCTTAGGGCGTAGGGTTCAGGGTTTAGGCTTTAGGGTTTATGGTTTAGGGTTTAGGAATTGTTTCTGCAGCATACGAATGAACGTGATCGCGGCGAACATACCACCCTAGGCGACTGCAGTGCTGTGACCTTGACGGGCATCACAGACGTCTACACCAATGGCAAGGCCTTCTTGGCCTTGAATCGGAACAGCGGTAGTGGTGAGCAGCTCGCATGGTTTAAGAGATGACCGTTTGAGCAGATCCTGCAGACTTCAGGGCGCTTTCGCACGTTGTTTTCCTGTGAGGGCTGCTGACTGGGCACGGTGCATGGCAAAAGCCCGTGAGGCAGACAAGCAGACAGGAGCGCGCGTGAGAGCGAGAGAGCGAGAGAGAGAGAGAGAGAGTGTGAGTGAGATGGTCGAGATGGGTTGGTGCCTGTCTTTGTGGCCCAGAAGCCTCGAATCATGACCACTCACATTGAAGCTCAAGAGGACCCCGAGAACGAGTTGAGGTCTGCTGATCGTTTGTGGGGTATTTTGCGTGGTTATTTGCTACTATTTGCTGAAGAACACCCCCCCCCCCAAGAAAAAAAAAATCACAAAAAACTATATTCCTTACAAGGGCAACACAGGAGTTGTCATTTTGTCTTATATTCTTTTGGGGTTCTTAAGCAAATAGTAGTTTGGTGGTTGCTTCGGCCGAGGTGCTGGGGCAACAGCCAAGCCGGCAACGACTGCAGCCAAATCGACTTCAGTGGCGAGGCTTGGGGCCAGAATTTAAGGTTTAGGGTATAGGGTTTAGGTTTTAGGGTTTAGGGTTTAGGGTTTAGGGTTTAGGGCTTAGGGTTCAGGGGTGTAGGTTGGGATGTTCCCCCCTTAGACTAACAGTCCTTAGTATGGATTATACTAGGGGCAGTGTGATCCCAATTAAGGACTGCTAGTAGAAGGGGGAACATCCAAGGTAGGTACAGTAATGTATAGTAGAATAGAAGAGTAGAATGTAGGATCCGAGGAGCACGTGCACTGAGAGTCTCAGATACTTGCAGGTCCAGATCTACACCACTGACTCCGCCTTCCTCGCCTTATCCGGTGGTGTGGGCCAGTGCTGGGGCAACCCAACGAACGGAGGCGACTGCAGCAACGCCGCTCGCCTTATGCAGTGCTGCGGAAATGCATCTTTCTTGCGGCAACCAGCTTGGTACATGAGGAAGGGAGCTCCCTGAGTAGCTTGTCGATATTCCCTGCGCGCAACACCATGCTGGTTTTTGTTCGTCGCTTGCCTAACTCGTTGGACTTGGCAGCTTGCGACTCTTTTCCGGGAGCTGGGTCACAAGAAGCCCTTAAGAGTGAGCCTGCAAAGGCCGAAGACCTTTGAATCCTAAAGAGGCTGAACCTACAAGGCTCAGCAGCCCAACCCTTGGAGCAATGGTTTTGCTACCTTGTATTTCTTTGTGTTTTATCTAGGGTTTGAGGTTTAAGGTTTAGGGTTTAGGGTTTAGGGTTTAGGGTGACTTGCAGCTAGGTGCTGAGTGTTGGTCTGCATGCCTGTAGAATAGCTAGGCCCGGCATGATGTCCAGCCCTTGCCGTCCACAGCAGTTGCCAGCGATTTGTCTCCATGTTTGCACCCTAACCCCTAAACCCTAAACCCCAAACCCCAAACCCGAAACCCCAAACCCCAAACCCGAAACCCTAAGCCCTAAACCCTAAACCCCAAACCCCAAGCCCTAAACCCCAAACCCTAAACCATAAACCCTTTCTCGATTCGCCTAAGTCTTGTCATTGAGGTCTTTTTCAGCAGCAACTCCCAGATTGCCAGCACAAGTGCTGCCTTTGTAGCCCTGGACGCGGCGAATGGCATCGCGCAATGCTGGGGATCTCCCTCCTTCGGAGGTGTGGGTTCAGGTAATGGTGTCGGGCCTCGGTGTAACGATATGTGTGGGGTTTAGGGATGTTTAGGGTTTAGGGGTACGAGTTGAGGGCTCGGGCGTTTGGAAAGCTTCACGGGAGTTCTTTGGCATTTGGGGTTCACTTTGGGGGTGAACTTTGGACGAATCAACTTGAGAAACGGTATTCTGTAGTTCCGCGAAGCTCTTGAAAGGTTTTGTGCGAAACTTGCTCACGTGCATGACGAACGTCACAGACTTCCTTTTTTTCCGAGCACCAGGTGATTGCTTGGGAACGTCCTTCGAGGGCCTCACCAGCGTCTATGCCACCAGCTATGCTTTCATGGCGATGAATCCAGCTACTCGAACCAAGACTTAGTTCATTCATTATGGGAGGGGGGTGCGAGGGGCGTATGTAACCCAAGGTTCCCTAATACTTCCCACTACTCCCTAAGGCTCCCTAAGCTTCCCTAAGGTTCCCTAGGTACCTACCCCCCATGAACTCCCCCCCAATAAATGTATGAAGCTGCGAAAAAGCCACGGAGAAACAGAGTACATCAGTATATCAGAGCACTGTGGCTACTCATCTGTGGGGCCATGCGGCCCAACCTTAGAACGCAGTAAAAGTGAGCCATGACCCCCAGAATTGTCAACAATTGTCAAGATGAATCCCTAAACCCCTAGACCCTAAACCCTAAACCCTAAACCCTAAACCCTAAACCCTAAACCCTAAACCCTAAACCCTAAACCCTAAACCCTAAACCCTAAACCCTAAACCCTAAACCCTAAACCCTAAACCCTAAACCCTAAACCCTAAACCCTAACCTAAACCCTAAACCCTAAACCCTAAACCCTAAACCCTAAACCCTAAACCCTAAAACCTAAACCCTAAACCCTAAACCCTAAACCCTAAACCCTAAACCCTAAACCCTAAACCCTAAACCCTAAACCCTAAACCCTAAACCCTAAACCCTTATCCATCTCTGCCCATCTCTGCCCCGGCTATAGATGGAGAATGAAACCTGCCAAGGTTACCGGCGCCGCCAAGTGTTGGGGATCAGCCGGGTTCGGCGGAGAGTGCCTTTGTCATAGTGGTGTTCAGGGTTTAGGGTTTAGGGCTTCGGGTTTAGGTTTTAGGGTTTAGGGGCAGCATTTACATGTTTAAGGGTACTGAAACTCAATAAGGAATAGACATTTTAGTACTATCCTAACCATGACCTAGGTGCAGCGGCGACCTCACCGGCTTTCAAATCCACTCCAATGATTTCGCGTTTGCGGCCGTAAGTGCAGAGGAAGTTCGGGCCTGGGGGAGCAGTGCGCAGGGTGGAGACACGGGCAATGTGAACTTTGCACCAGTGCTGGAGATACCGACCACGGTGACAGCGACAACCGCCACGGCGACCAGCACGGTGACGGGCACAACGCTGACAACCACGACGGTGATCACAGCCACGGCGACCAGTACCGTGACCGGCACAATGCTGACAACCACGACGGTGATCACAGCCACGGCGACCAGTACCGTGACCGGCACAACGCTGACAACCACGACGGTAATCACAGCCACGGCAACCAGTACGGTGACCGGCACAACGCTGACAACCACGACGGTGATCACAGCCACGGCAACCCTCACGGTGACGGGTACGACGCTGCCAACAACGACCAGCACACAGGCAGTGACTACCGGGGCCCCTCCGAGCTACTCGTGGAGCACTTTGGTACTTGACTTTTGGGAGTGCACAAGTTGGGCCGGGTTCGTGTTGGCCAGTGTGATGTACGAGGCGTGCTTGTCATGAATCAGTTCAGTAGCTCAGGTGTAGGGACATTGCTGCTAATGATCTTGGAGGAGAAGTTGACGTAACACTGCATTGCAAATCTCGAAGTCCAAAGTGCATGGCGCAAGATGTCATCCAGCTATGGAGATGAAGGCAGACGCCAAATCCCTCACCCGACAGGTAGCACAGCACCATGTGTATAGGATGCCCGGTGCGGGTTGGTTTGGGGCTAGTCAGCTACCACGCCGTTTTTTGGGCTCTCCCATCGATGTACTTTGATTCGTGAGTGCTGAGGTGGGACATGCCGCCGCTGGTGCAAATGGCTCACCAGGAGCTTCAATGTGGTTTGCGCGACTGGGCTTGAACCTGGACCCTAAACCCTAAACCCCTAAACCCTAAACCCCTAAACCCCTAAACCCTAAACTAAACCCCTAAACCCTAAACCCCCAAACCCTCGGCCCTAGAGGGCTTTCTGCCTGGTCAGAAAGTCGCATGTCAGGCCCCAGACTCTTCTGTGGGCTCCCACAGCTTGGAAGTTGCAAGTAGGTCTAGGACCCAGAGTGGGCCCTTGTTCCCGTTATGGAGGGTTTAGGGTTTAGGGTTTAGGGTTTAGGGTTTAGGGTTTAGGGTTTAGGGTTTAGGGTTTAGGGTTTAGGGTTTAGGGTTTAGGGTTTAGGGTTTAGGGTTTAGGGTTTAGGGTTTAGGGTTTAGGGCCTCAGAGTAGGCCCTCATTCCCTCTTTTTGGGAGGGCGTTAGGTTGCCTTACAAGCCCCCTTTAACCCAAAAAGGGCACCTATTCTACTTCTAGGTTGCTCTCGGGTGCCTTCGTGCTTCTGTTGCAAACCCTAAACCCTAAACCCTAAACCCTAAACCCTAAACCCTAAACCCTAAACCCTAAACCCTAAACCCTAAACCCTAAACCCTAAACCCTAAACCCTAAACCCTAAACCCTAAACCCTTGTGAAAATCTCCCTGTTTTTCCTCCCTGTACAGTAGCACCAAGGTCACACCTTCCTTTCTGTAGTATACTCCGCAGTAGAGCCCGAACGCACTACCCTATAATTGGGAACTTTTCTTCACTCTTTACCTACAGGGGCCCAAAGCACTTTGAACACGTCCAAACAGTGCTATGCAGTACTGCTCCTTACCGATCCCACTCCAAAACCCTAAACCCGGGGGCAGGGTCAAGAAAACATCACGTTAAGCGTCGAGCAAACATCACGTTAAGACTTCAGTGCGCATCCCCCCTAAGCATCGCACACGCGACGCGTTTGGGCGGGAGCCCAACGAACACAGCAAATGCATTTTCCAGGGGCCCGAAAGTGCACAGCGGGCATAGCTCAACCGACGGAGGGGTGCACGACGAGCCTCCAAAGGTGGCACTACCTTACCTCCATTGCCTCCAGTGTCCCCCAGACGGCCCCGTGCATTTTGGAGCGGCAGGAAAGTGCAGTCGCGACAGCCCCCGCCCGCTAGAAGGCAGGAGACTAGAACCCCCCCAATGTGACGTTTACTCGACCCCCCTGAAACCTGAAACCCGAAACCCGAAACCCGAAACCCGAAACCCGAAACCCGAAACCCGAAACCCGAAACCCGAAACCCGAAACCCTAAACCCTAAACCCTAGACCCTAAACCCTAAACCCCACCTTGCGAGGACTGGTCGTCTTGTTCTGGCTGCGAGGAGTGCTTCGAACCAGAGCCCGAGGTGCCCGTGTGTGCCTCGTTGGAAGGTTGTGGGTTTAGGGTTTAGGGTTTAGGGTTAAGGGTTTAGGGTTTAGGGTTTCGGGTTTAGGGTGGGTTTGGGGGTTCCACGGGTCGGTTTTATGGGTATTTTTTTTGGGGGGGGGGGGGGGTTGGGGGGTTCTGTTATTTGGTTTGTTTAGGTCGAACTGAAAGCCTGCGAACCCCAAGCCCCCAGCCATGCTAAGCCCTCAGCCCTGAAACACAGATGCATATGGGGGTTTACGAAAATAAGGGACCCCTATAATAGCCCATAGTAGGATTCCACTTGTAATAAGGACCCCAATAAGGTACCCCTGATTTCGGAAACCCCCATATCATGTCTGTCGAGTACTGACTTGATGACTCGAGCTGTGGGTGTGGGGTGGCGAAGAGTTGGTTCTTTTCTGTGGTTTTTTTTTGACAAATTCTTCCCCTTCTGGGTACCCAATTTTCACGGCTCCGTATTTTTACTCGGAAACCCAGAAGAAACGCAAAAGCAAACAAAGCTTGTCGGGGGCTCCGATTGGATGCAAAAGTGTAAGAAGCGCGATTCCGCTGGGCCCCTTCGGCGTTGGCGCCCAAGCTCACAAACCCTAAGCTCTGAGCATCCATGATACTGTCTGTGTTTCCAAGCATTTCTTTGTATCCGGCCGCGAATGGCATGATTATGTTAGTCTATTGTTGTGTTGTTGTAGTCTTGCATTTTTGCATCCTTGTACGACCCAACACATGTTCCCCCAGCTGCCTCGGCTGCGCGGCAATGATTTCTCCAAAAAAAGGGACGCCGGGTCAGGTCCTGGCCAAGTGAGTGTACTTGGGAGGTTCAGGGCACTTATACCCCCAGTTAAAACCGTATTCTGACAAGCCCCCTAAGTCCCCGAAGTAGGTTCTATCAGCCTCCGAAAGTCTCTCTAAGTAGGTGATAGGTCGACGTATAATTGGGGGTAATAACTACCCACGAACCGCCAAGTCAACCCCCCCCCCCCCAAGCCGTGACATCCCCCTAGACGTATAGCGTCCTTAAGGTAGGGGGGGGGGGGGGGTGAGGGGGTCATAATGATGCAAGTAGTATTCTAGCATGTTTATTTCATTCGGCTATTGAATGCAAGTTGTTGTATCATCGCATTGTGTTACGATTATGTTGTGATTTTATTCGATTCTATGCTACTATATAATCGTATTGTAGAATAGCATTCTAGTTAGTATTCTGGTAATATATTATTTTATACCATTAAAGCATTACTACAGCATTACGGCAAGAAATGTAATGCTTCATTAATACCTTTTAAAAATAGGTATACATATATATATATATAGATATATCTTTATAGTGCTATCATTCTGTTGTTCGAATTTCATCCTTATGATAGGTGGTTTAGTTAGTTTGCCATATCATGTTGAGTATTATATCCCCGTGTTTTTGTGGTTTCTGCACCCGCTCAGGCAAGTGTGACAAATACAAGGGACGGGCACGCGGTGATGGCAGCTTGGCCACACCCTAAACCCTAAACCCCAAACCGTAAACCCTAAACCCTAAACCCTAAGCCCTAAACCCGAAGCCCTAAGCCCTAAGCCCTAAAACCCTAAACCCTAAACCCTGAACCCTGAACCCTGAACCCTGAACCCTGAACCCTGAACCCTGAACCCTGAACCCTGAACCCTGAACCCTGAACCCTGAACCCCTAAACCCTAAACCCTAAGCCCTAAACCCTAAACCCTAACCGCTTGAGTTTGTCATCGAAAGGTCCTGTCAGCTGCGGAAGCCTGCTCCGTCTATGTGCTGTACTTGACGTAGTTATGTCCCTAAACCCTAAACCCTCAATCCTAAACCCCAAACCCTTAAACCCTTTTTGAAGCTGCTGCCGCTTGCTTCCTGCGCATAGGGTTCCTCTCCTCACAATGAAGTCCCTTCATGAGATACTTGCAGACGCATGTTTAAGACTCTCGGAACCACCGCCTAGTGATAGCTGAGAGTTCATCCTGCAGTAGCTGATCCTCAAGGTTGGTATTTGTATGGCAGTGGAGGCGGCCACTTGCGTCTTGTGGAACTCGTAAGCATTCGACCCCCATGCAATGAGACCACATGCTCTTGATGTCAGATGACGCCAGTGTGCTGCTGAGTCAACTTGCATGGGAGCCATGTTGGTCTAGCAGCTGCTAACAAGGATACAAGCGCTACGAGTACCTCTGCATCCGCGAGCGGACGCGTGACAACGTGCGCCTTGTCCGCATGGTCCCCATGCCCGTTTCATGTCGTCAAAATTCTTTGGAGTCTTGTAGGTGCGTCCATGTGCCGAATAAGCTTGACTTGCACTGAACAGAAACCCTTGATCTCTTCAGTTGTCGTTTTCAGCGTTCGTCTTGTATGAGACGGAGATATGCACACCCCATGCCGGAAGCGTGCATGTTCAAGCAAACTTCCCAAGTTCTGAAAGGGTCGGGTAGCCGGAGCCATGTCCGTCTGGAGTCACCTTCTGCTTTGTGCTGCGGCCATCGGCACCAGTCTAGCATGCTCTTGTGGCCCAGACATCCCAGCACATGGGGCCTTCTCATCTCCAGTGGCAATTTTTTTCCGGCAGCCCTTCGTCTTCACAGGGAAGGTCTTCTACGTCCGGCCAGCCGACAGCATTCCGGGTGAGCAATCTGCATATTGCGGTGCTGAGTGGGGAAATCCCATGCACTGGTGACTGTGAGGGCCATTTCGGCAGATGGAACAGGTGTGGCCGGAAACATATTGCCGAGGTGCAGGTCACTCATGGACTTCAGGGGATCAGTAAAGGCGAGACTTTCCGGTACAACTGCACTCTTGCAAGTTGCGGTGATTGCAGTCCACCATGTCCCGAGGTGGGTGCAGAGGTTCTCGATGGGACGCGGGCAGGTGGCGCGACGTCTCTCTGTGGCTCCCGCCGCTGCGAGCTCACTGGCTGGAATGCAGAGGACTGCCAGTGGCTTTTCAGGGAGCTGCAGCGCAAGAGGCCTGCTGAACGGAAGTGTCAATTTTCTCTTCCCGTGGCCTTCTCCACGCTGACCGCCGACTGCTACTTTCGCGGCCGGCTGCTGCGAGCACTGGTCGGGGACATCCTGACCTCCCTCTGGCCAAAGGTGCCGAAGTGTGACATCAAGTCCGCGAGCCTTGTGGAGGATCCGCATGAGGGCATGTTCGTGACGCCTTCGGCCCATGAGCTCCTTGTGCCTTCCACTCTCTTCGAACTCGTCTTCTACATGGCGGAGGAGGACGACCTGGATGCCGTCGAGTCGGATCTTCGACACCTCTTCTCCGTACGATACACCTGGAAGCAAGGCTGGGACGTGGTGAAGCACTTCTGCCTCCACAACCTGACCCTAAACCCTAAACCCTAAACCCTAAACCCTAAACCCTAAACCCTAAACCCTAAACCCTAAACCCTAAACCCTAAACCCTAAACCCTAAACCCTAAACCCTAAACCCAGCAACCTATGTGGCAGCCGTGCAGACTTCTTTGGTAAGCCTCGGACCGCCCATCTTCACCTGAGGGCATGTTGCCACGGGTGCACCCTTTAAAGCAAAACGCATACCCTTGCTATTCCCAGTTTACTCTTGGGTCTAGACAAGCCCCGAAACCCAAAACCCAAAACCCTAAACCCTAAACCCTAAACCCTAAACCCTAAACCCTAAACCCTAAACCCTAAATCCTAAATCCTAAACCCTAAACCCTAAACCCTAAAGCTATCACATGCTGCAAGAACGGCGGCAGTTGATGGCTGCCTTGTCCTTCTGGGCAGTAGCGCCCGGGGGCTGCGAACCCGCTCTTCGCCTTGGGTTGTGGTGGCAAGGTGTCAGGCTGAGTCAGGCTTTCTGAACCCTAAACCCTAAACCCTAAACCCTAAACCCTAAACCCTAAACCCTAAACCCTAAACCCTAAACCCTAAACCCTAAACCCTAAACCCTAAACCCTAAACCCTAAACCCTAAACCCTAAACCCTAAACCCTAAACCCTAAACCCTAAACCCTAAACCCTAAACCCTAAACCCTAAACCCTAAACCCTAAACCCTAAACCCGCCCACCACCCCTCTCCCTCTAGAGGTGAGTGGGCGCCGTCGAGCGCTCAGCGAGACCACGCAGGCCCGATCTAGGCTGATCGGGCCTGCAGGCACACCCCTGCAGGGGTCGCCAAGCTTGGTCGCCAAGCACAGTCCCTAGTATATTCTACACCCCTCAAACCGAGCCTTTGCTCCCGGCAGGTGTTTTTCTAACCTGGCCTGGAGCCCCCCTGGAGGCCTCCGGGGCCCCTCTGGGGGCGGCGCCGAGCCTTCGTTGCTGGACCAGAGGCCCTTTTTCGGGCTCGCCCCTGGGAGGCCCCTGGGAGGCGCCTGGGAGGCCCCTGAAAGGGGTCTTGGGAGGCTTCGTGGGAGCCTGGGAGGCCCCTGTGGGAGCCGCCTGGGAGGCTCCGCCGCTGGGAGGCCTCTTGGGAGGCCCCTTCAGAGGCTGTGGAGGCGCCTGAAATGCTCTAAGAGGCCCCTAGGAGGCTCTAAGCCTGAGAAGGTTTTGAAAGGCCCTGGAACTCGCAAACTTCTAAACACACACCGGCATGGAGAATAGAAACAATGAGAAGGCCCTCCGGCCGAAGACGTCCCCCAGCGCAAAACCTGAATTTTCTCGCGGCAGGTGTTTCTAACTGGATTGGGCCTTTCCTGGAGGCCTCCTTGGACCCTCTGGAGGGCCTCCCGACAGCGGCCGGCCCCTGAAAGGCTTTTAGGAGGCCCTGGAAGGGTTCTGGGAGGTTGAAAGCCCTCAAGGCTCTCCGAAGTTTTGGAGCCAGGTTCTGGGAGGCCCCTGCGCAAAACCTGAATTTTTCTTCTAGACGCACCCCGGCAAGAGAATAGAAACAATGAGAAGGCCCTCCGGCCGAAGACGTCCCCCAGCGCAAGACCTGAATTTTTCTATCGCAAACTTCTAGACACACACACCGGCATAGGATTAGAAACGATGAGAAGGCCCTCCGGCCGAAGACGTCCCCCTGCGCAAAACCTGATTTTCTCCTGCAAATTTCTAAAGAATACAAACAATGAGAGGCTCTCCGGCCGAAGACGTCCCCCAGCGCAAAACCTGAATTTTTCTATCGCAAATTTCGAGAGACACGCCGGCATAGAGAATAGAAACAATGAGAAGGCCATCCGGCCGAAGACGTCCCCCAGCGCAAACCTGTTTTTTTGCTACAAGTTTCTTGACGTGACTTTCACAAGGCACCCTTCTAGCAACAGGTCTTTCGCCAAGCAGCCTTGACATTCCGGCATAGCCTTCCGGCCGAAGACGTCCCCCAGCGCAAAACCTGAATTTTTCTCTCGCAAACTTCTAGACACACACCGGCATAGAGAATAGAAACAATGAGAAGGCCCTCCGGCCGAAGACGTCCCCCAGCGCAAAACCTGAATTTTCTCTCGCAAGCTTTTAGACATACCTTTCACAAGGCATCTTCCTAGCAGCAAGTCTTTCGCCATGCAGCCTTGACACTCCAGCGTAGGGAACAGAAACAATGAGAAGGCCCTCCGTCCGAAGACGTCCCCCTGCGCAAAACCTGAATTTTCTCCTGCAAGCTTCAGGCATGACTTCCATAAGGCTCCTTTCTAGCAACAGGAGGTTCTATTTCCAAGGCAGCTTCTTAAATGTTACCATGCAGCAAGGCATCTTTATAGCAAATTGACATCAAGACACATTGGATGCTGGACCGAAGTACAACATTGAGTGCAGAAGTGTTTGAATGTGGGCTGGCTTTAATTCGGCTGGCTCTGGTTTGTTTCGCTGCAAGTAGTGTTTGGGTGGCCTTTGGGGTGGGCATGTCTACACACAATTGCGTACAGCTGACCCGTGCTACACCCTAAACCCTAAACCCTAAACCCTAAACCCTAAAACCCTAAACCCTAAAACCCTAAACCCTAAAACCCTAAACCCTAAACCCTAAACCCTAAACCCTAAACCCTAAACCCTAAACCCTAAACCCTAAACCCTAAACCCTAAACCCTAAACCCTAAACCCTAAACCCTAAACCCTAAACCCTAACCCGAAACCCTAAACCCTAAACCCTAAACCCTAAACCCTAAACCCTAAACCCTAAACCCTAAACCCTAAACCCTAAACCCTAAACCCTAAACCCTAAACCCTAAACCCTAAACCCTAAACCCTAAACCCTAAACCCTGCACCCTGCACCCTAAACCCTAAACCCTAAACCCTAAACCGTTTGCCGCGCTTAAGGCCCAAACCTGCCTGAACCCCGGCGAAGAGGAGGTGTGACCTTCGCCCTCTGCCCTTGTACAGCTGCGTGAGAGGGCCGAGAAAGCGGGTTTAGGGTTTAGGGTTTAGGGTTCAGGGTTTAGGGTTTAGGGTTTAGGGTTTAGGGTTCAGGGTTTAGGGTTTAGGGTTTAGGGTTCAGGGTTTAGGGTTTAGGGTTTAGGGTTTAGGGTTTAGGGTTTAGGGTTCAGGGTTTAGGGTTTAGGGTTTAGGGTTTAGGGTTTGGGGTTTAGGGTTTAGGGTTTGGGGTTTAGGGGCCAGAGTCGTTCAAACCTTGAACGTCCATGGACCCAAGAAACTCGGTTAGTAGAACTCTCACGGACACATTTGGGTTAACCCTAAGCCCTACACCCCAAACCCTCCCAGCAAGTATAGGGAGTTAAAAAGGTGCAAGCCGCCTTTGCCATGGTTGACAACGAGCTGCCGCGGAAGCTATTCCAAGTGCAGGGTGGAGGACTGGCACTTCGGAGGGATTTGTGAGGGTTTTAGGGTTTTAGTTTTTAGGTTTTAGGGTTTAGGGTTTAGGGTTTAGGGTTGAGGGTTGAGGGTTTGGGGTTTGGGGTTTGGGGTTTAGGGATGAGGGACCCGAAGCCCTCTAAACATCTACATGCCCTAAACCAATAGGCTTGAGGGGTCCCTAAACTCTTTAAACATCTACATGCCCTAAACCCTAAACCCTAAACCCCTAAACCCCTAAACCCCTAAACCCCTAAACCCCTAAACCCCTAAACCCCTAAACCCCTAAACCCCTAAACCCCTAAACCCCTAACCCCTAACCCCTAACCCCCTCACCCCTAAACCCTAAACCCCAAACCCCCTAAAACCCCCCTAAAACCCCTAAACCCCTAAAAACCCCTAAACCCCTACCCCCATAACCCCTAACCTCCTAAACCCCTAAACCCCTAAAACCCTAAACCCCTAACACCCCTAAACCCCTAAACCCCTAAACCCCTAAACCCTAAACCCCTAAAACCCCTAACCCCTAACCCCTAACCCCTAACCCCTACCCCCGAAACCCCTAAACCCCTAAACCCCCTAACCCTAAACCCCTAAACCCTAACCCCTAAACCCCTAAACCCCCTAAACCCCTAAACCCCTAACCCTAAACCCCTAAACCCCGAAAACGCCCTCAAACCCCTAAACCCCTAAACCCCTAAACCCCTAAACCCCAACCCCCTAAACCCTAACCCCTAAAACCTAAACCCTAACGTCTAACCTAAACCCCAAACCCAAACCCCTACACCCTAAACCCCTAAACCCACTAAACCCCGAACCCCCTAGGCAAGCGAGAGGTTCGAGGAATATACGAGTTTTGGGCCATCTCCATGCTCGCGCGAGAGACACAGAAGCCCCGGGGGCGTGTCTCAACTGAACGTAGAGAGAATTGCGCTAAACCCTCAAAACCCTAAACCCTAAACCCTAAACCCTAAACCCTAAACCCTAAACCCTAAACCCTAAACCCTAAACCCTAAACCCTAAACCCTAAACCCTAAACCCTAAACCCTAAACCCTAAACCCTAAACCCTAAAACCTAAACCCTAACACCTAAACCCTAAACCCTAAACCCTAAACCCTAAACCCTAAACCCTAAACCCTAAACCCTAAACCCTAAACCCTAAACCCCAAACCCCAAACCCCAAACCCTAAACCCTAAACCCTAAACCCTAAACCCTAAACCCTCAAGACAAAACACATAAGAATCGTATTTGGCATCATTCTGGACTTTCCAAGATATTTGTCCAAACAGCTGACAACAAAGTTTGAGTAAATTCCTCCAAGGCGCCTGGACGGCCAAATGCTCAATTTACTTAAACCCCAAGCCCCCAGACCCTAACCCTAAACCCTAGACCCTAGACCCGAAACCCTAAACCCTAAACACCGCCAGCCTGCCCACCCTGCCCGACCCCCTCCCGCGGCCCAACCCCGGCCCCCCAAAAGCCCTCCCCCGTAGGGTTTAGGGTTTAGGGTTAGGGTTTAGGGTTTAGGGTTTAGGGTTTTTGGTGTAGGGTTTAGGGTTTAGGGTACGCCCGAAGCCCGAAAGCCCGAAAGCCCGGAAGC